CCCTTCTAATTTCACTTTGATTTATATAATTAATTTCTGTCTTTGGCCTTATCGAACTCTTTTCTTGAGAGAGATAATGGTTTGTGTGCGCTAGTTCTACAACTACTGAAAGCCATTGGTAAAGAGTGTAGAAATCTCAGGTCAAGGTTTTGCAAGTGCGGCAAACGCCATTTTCTAAAGATCGCAAACCACTTTTTGGTTATATCTGTAATCGACAGTTCTACAACAGAGGAAAGGGAACCACAGTTGGGTCTTTGAGCAAGAGAACATATCATACAAGGCTCAATCAAGGGAGCAAGACAAAAGAAGAGAACCATCACAGAGGATTCAAAACATGTTCAAAAGCAGCATCCAGGAAATCCCTCACGGTGAGGAGAGAGTGTGCAGATCTCGGGTTCCAAGCTATGCAACTGAGGCGCAACGTGAAGATCCCCAACGTTTTAAAAAATGATTAAATATCTCCAATCTTTCAGGCAACATTCAAAGACGTAGAGCATGATGTGTAGCTTTTTTCTTGTTCTGGAATTGATATGTTTCGTAGTTCCTGTTGATTCATTGGATCACAATGTACAGAATAGGAAACCAATTCTGGGCTACGCGTTACAAGAACAATATGAAGTTTATGTACTTAGATAGAATTTGAAACATATCCTTGTCAATTTTAGTTATGGAAGACGTCAAGGGGAAGGAGATAATTGATGATGCTCCGACCGAAAACAAGGTTTCAGATGAGATGGAGAATCGTAAACAGCCATCACCTGAGTGAGTCCGAGGTGATTTTGAATCGTTTCTAGAGTTAGCAATTAAGAGTTTTGATTGAGGGAACATAGTTATGATCCTTTTCCTATATTCATAAAGTTTGTTGCAGAATCTGTTTGGAGTTAACTCTTTTGATTATTGGTCCATTGCTTATGATGAGCTTTTCTTTTCGATTGTTGGTCTTTCGGTAGGAAAATGCTATCAAGAAAAAGTATGGTGGATTGTTGCCTAAGAAGATTCCCCATTGATATCCAAGGTAGTTTATTAAACCATTGCCATTGGTAAAAAAACAAACTACGCTATTTATTCTCTTCTTTACTATAATCCATGAGGGAAGCTAAGTCAGCTGTATTCATGCTTCATTCGAGGTCCATGAACGCTCGTTTTTTGACCCTGCTGATTGGGCTTTAGGCAAGGTGATTCTTGCATACCAACCTTTTTAACTATCCTTGAATCTTATTTCTTCCTGCTACCATCTCTTCCGATGTGGTGTGAGATTTACAAACAGCTCTCACTTTAATGGTTGGTGATACTTTCTTATATCTTCCAATATCCTATTTCTTAGGGGTATGGCTTCTAATTGTTGTTATATGACTTTCTTATTCTGTTATCTAAGATGAGATATATCCGCCTTATCGAGTAATTGTGTTGTTCATGTGCTAGATATATTCCAGGAAGCAGGTCTACCTCTCTGGTTGCGTCTTTATGAAGTCTTGGTCACATCTTCGTGTACTGTCCTAATAGAAACAATTCCAGATACGGTACTTTTGTTAACCAGAACCCTTCAATTGTACTAGCAACAAAGTTTCGGCACATCTACTTAGTTGCTACGTTATATCTTGGAATCAATCTTAATTGTATGTAAATTACCATTTCCCTCTCCTGTTGCAGGCTTCTATTCATTCTATCAAAAGTAGATACCCCAACATCACAAGCCTACGAGAATTCTTTGCTGCAAAGTATAAAGAAACTCTCCGAGTTTTAAGCTCGCCAGGTAATGTACAGCTGAGGTCGATCTTAATAGTTTAATTCAACAAGCATGTTGGTTATTTTGTTCCAGCAATTTGCTTCACTTCAGTCTGTTAAACATGTTATCGTTGAAATGGGAGAAGTGCCAGAACTACATAAACTGCTTTTCTTGAAAATATACGTTGCATTGGATTTCAAGATTTCTTAATGGATCATTCTAAAGAAAAGAAGCTGCTTGGTTTAAACTTTCAGCAGTTATATGTGCATAACTTTAAAAAACCCAATTTTACCAACTTGTGTTGGGTGCCATGTTGTGTATGTAATAACCTTGCGAATTGGCTTATTTTGCAGAGGAATTTTGTTGAGATATGGTCGGATATTCTTTGGTCTGTTACCTTCTACAGGTATATTAGTGACCTCTTCTCTCACAGTACATTGTGTATTCATCTATATACATGCATCCAAGTCCATTGAAACAGCATAGGTTTTGCTCCCTAGTTCTGTTGATAAGTTTCATGAAAAGCATACTTTAACTTTTTATGGCTCGTGATACCCATTTGGTTGATTGCTACATTATACACATTGATTTTGGCTTTATGCTTTCGAATTCTCCTGGTGGTGTCAACTTTGAGAGTGCTCCATTTAAGTTAATCCGTAAACTTCTTGAGGTAAGACACCCATTCTTGGTCTAACAATATCGTATTTTCATCTCTTCAAAGTCTTTTCTGGTTTAATTTCATTGAATCTTTTAATCCAATTTATATATATAGAAAACACTTGTCACAACTAGGTCATGGACTCTGATGCCGACGGGGTTCCAAGTGAGTTCTTTGACTATTTCAAGGTATATCCATGTGGCTCTTGCTCTAGATATATCGGGTTTTTAATTTGTTGTATCTGAGCTGGTGATGGTATATCGG